ATATATATACACAATATCAAGTACAGAAAAATTAAGAAGAAAAAATGTAACGAGAAATATCTAGAGAAAAAGAGAAAATATGGAGAAAAATAACTTTGGTGATAGCCAACTAGTCCCAAAGTTAGAATATTGGAGGTTATGTCCTTTAAACTTGGAAAAGGCTTGGATTTTTTTCATTATTTCGTATATCTGTTCATCAAATCCGCAATAATATATTTCAAATCCTTTAAAATTTTCAGAATTTCACGATTGTTTATTTGAAAATGGGATTGAAACGAATTCAGCCAGTGGATCGCATTAATATTCTTCCTCTCTTATTGTATACATTTAAAAAAATTTTGGAAAACAAAGAAAGTCAAAACAATAAGAAAATTATTGACCAGTAATTTTTTATTGCTTGTCACTTTTCATTAATAAAGATTTGATTAAATTCTTTCAACTTTTATGTGAACAAAAAAAATAAAAACACAGATTGAAAATAACTATTAAGAATGTTTTAATACTGAAAACTGGAAATTTTTTTTTAGAATAATGCAATATTTAGTTTACGGTTTCAATTATTTTTAGATTATTATGCTTAACTGTCGAAAGTTGGATTTCTATTTCACAAATATGTTTTGAGAAATGGCCAAAATTGGAGGCATTACAGTGCATTTCTGTTCGAAAGAAAGTTCTTTTATTTATGCAAAAACTTATTCAATTTCCTCACATCAAGTTAATATTTGATCCAGATTATCTTATTTTTTTAAGCCATTTTTATTTTATTCTTTTATATTTATTGCCTCTTTACTTTTTTAACTTAATTGTTTACCTTTTTTTGCTCATTTTAGTGGAGAAGCTTTTGTTGAGACTGTCGCCTCTGATAATTGTTCCAATGAACTGGGGTCGCTATTACCCGGTGATTATAATCTGATTGGCAAAGAAATTATAGGTGTTGGTACAAGCATTCGCTCGGTAATTTTTTAGTAATTAAAACTATTTCTTTCATTCCCTTGTATGTTTCAAAAAAAAAAATTTTGCAGGCAAAAATGGCTATTGTCGAAATTTTGTCAACATCACTTTTTAAAAAAGTTGAAATTTTTCCATTACTTGCGCTGGCGTCTGGTTCAGATTTTATAGAAATAAAAAATGCTGCTAACGATTCCTTAAAAAAATTTGATATTGATGAAATATTAAAAGAAAAAGAAACTATCACAAAACTTTTCAAGATTTATTTAGGCGATGAGCCAAATGTGCGTTTCATTTTTCTTTTTCTTTTCTTTGATCTTTCTCTAATTTTAGTAAATATTTTATTTAATATTTAATTGGTCTTAATTACATGCATTATTTTGTTCTTGTGATTTATACCGAAAATAAATGGTTGGTTTCAGAATATTCAACCGATTACTTCGGCTTCGGTAAAAATTGTCATTTTGAAATTATTGGTGCGCTCAAAAATAGCACCAAAAATGTTCACTGATAACATGAAAGTATGGGTTCTTTTTTTCTAATTTCTTGCAGTTCTATTTTTTCACTCTCTTGAATTAGCTCTTAATCATTATGCAATTTTTTATTTAAAGCAGCTCATAAATAATCTTGGTATAATCTTAATTGTAGAAGCTCTCTCTTTTATTCCTTTTATTTTTAATATTTCGTTTTTTTTCGATTTTATTTCTGCAAAAAATTCTTCAAATTGGTGATTTTTTATCCGTCGTTATAAATTTTATACATTGAATTTAACAGTTCTTTCAGGTGGTATATGATGGTCTTTTTGGTGAGCATAGGACTCGAGATCCTTCAAAATTATTGCAATTATCTGCTGAGTTTTTGTTTCTTCAAATAAAAAATTGTCCTTCTAGTGCTCAACAGACATTGAGTCCAATTTATTTTTCAACAATTAAAAAATTGCTTAACGATGATGAAGTTGGTTTATTTTTAAGTTGGTTAAGTTGGCTATTAGAAAATCATTTGATTTGCCTAAAAATTTTCGCTTCCCTTATTAATTCAATTAACTATTTATTTTTTTGAATTATTTGACTATTAATGCTAAATTTATATTTTTGTAGCGTTGGTCTGCAACAGCGGCTATATGTTATCGATGTATGGCTGAAATTGGACGCAATAATAAAAGTTTAGTGACCAGTGATTTCGTTCTGGTTCAACATTTATTTGATATTGTTGGCAAGGTATTTCTTATTCATTATTATTTTTTTATATTGTCATTTTGTATCCAAAATTTCTTTTCTTGGTATTATTTTCATATAATAAAAATGAAATGAAAATAAATTAGCGAATTTTAAAAATATTGATTCTGTTGATCTGATGAAAAATGAAATTGATTTCTGGTCATTATTCATCTTACTTTTTAAATAAATGGATAATAATTTTTTTCTATAGTGACTGTATGGTGAAAGGGTCAGGTCTTTTTGACGCGGCGTCTTCCATCGCTTTTGGATAATGCTTTTAATTCAATAATACATCCAGTGAATATGTGATCCTTAATAATAATAAAAAGTTAATTCCAAGGTTTGAAGATAGGATATGCTCGAGATCCGGGATAATTACTCGGAACCCATCAAGGGAGACGAGAATCTATACGTTAAGTAATATTGAATATCTCTCGAGTAATATTGAACCTGGTTTCGAGCAAAAGTATTGACTATATTACTGTTGGTCTTAGATAACTCAAGAAATGGCATATAAAAATGGCAATTGTTACATATGGAAAGCTCCGTTCTGATTAAGTGGAAGCCAGTAAACTGTATGGTTCACACATGTTTCAAAAGAAAGTTCTGCAATATTTCGGTCATCAGTATGCATGCTCTAAACTTATGCGCAGATGATCTCGATTAGAGATAACTTCTGTGCGAAACAACTATCTTTATCGAAAGCTGATATGGTCATAATCGAGGGAATCTGGAACGTGAGCATAGACCATGATGCCGTTACGATGAATTTGGTATTTGGCAAATATAGCATCGAGGTCCAGTGCATCAGTGAAGGACGTTTTGCCAAACATCATAAGCTCTTTATTATTATTATGCTTTCGGCATAGGAGAAGACATCTAATTACGTGGAACCCACCGGATTACCAGTATTCCAGCCGGATTGGTTATATCTGCGCTGGACTCTAGTCAGTCTCCGCAGGATGAGTTCTGTACTTGACAGTTTCTTCTTTCGGGGCACTAGTAAGCGTTATGGGCTAGGTCATGTTATGGTTCGAACCAAGATCCATATACAACTGACAAGTCGTAAGAAACAACTTATCTCAAGATCTTTCAGCAAATTGAATGATCCGGGTACAATAAGCACATTTCAAATCGAATTAATGAAATACCTCAGTGAAATAAATGTCAGTGACATCTCGGGAATGGCGAATTAATACTAGATGGCGAATTAATATCTCAATTAAAGGCAAAAACGAAAAAACGAAAACCAGCCATTTCCATACTAGTAGGAAATGCGCTAGTTGGTCGTCGGAAGCAAAGTCCATCAGTATGAAAAAGTTACCAAAGCCCACCAGCACGGTATAAATCGATATAAATCGTTATTGAAGCGATATAGTCTTGACAGACGGTAGGCTCGGTTAAATGTTAATACGAAAATTTTCTTCAACTTCAAAATAACTATAATTCGAGAAAGGATCAGTGAAATGATACGGAATATTAATGGGACGCCTGTTAAAGCTTTAAGGATCGCCTCAAAAGATGGAGAGAATTTTTTGAGACCAAACGATATTCTATCTGTTGTCACGGATTCGCTCGTCGAATCAAAAAAAAATAATCTCTGTAACTCCCGGAGAAGATGGGGCGAATTCTTCAAATGTCCATCATCATTCATAACTCACCTTCAACAAATGTGCTCTTTGGTATGACAAAAGGAAATAATACCAGCAAACTGGAGAAAAATAAGTTTGTTTTTAATTCTTAAAAATATGACAGAATTGCGGAATTGACGCAGATTTAGCCTATTCTAGTAGGCATTTTCGCTTCCTTTCTGCTAAATAGGCTCGTGGCAACACTGGATAGTGGAATCCGCCTTAAT